ACACTTTTGTGAAGTATCTGTTAGTCTTTTGTTCAGTTTTACTGTGGTATCTTCCTATTGAGTTACAGTAGTTCTTTATATATTCTGTATATGATTCCTTTGTCAAATATGTAAACTGTTTTCTCCCAGTCTGTAGTTTGCATTTTTATTTTCACAGTGCTGTCTTTTGATGAGCAGGAAAACCTAACTTTGGGAAGTCTAACTTATCATTTTTTTTCTTTTATGCATCATGTCTGAGAAATCTTTGCCTTTGCTTACCTCAGTACTATAAAGATATTCTCTGGTGTTTTCTTCTATAAATGCCATAGTTTTAGCTTTTATGGTTAGGTCTGTGATCCATCTCAAAAGCAATTTTTTTGTAGGAGTTATGGGTTCAGGTTTATCTTTTCCATACAAATATCCAGTTCTTTCAAATGATTGTATGCTCCTCCTCAAATGCCTTAGTGCCTTTATTGAAAATCAGTTGACCATAGGTGAGGGTCTGTTTTGTGATTCTGTATCATGTTCTATTGCCACGTCTTTATGTCCCAATATGACATTGTCTTGATAGTTGTAGCGTTGTGTGTGGTAAACCATACAGTCAGATGGTGTAAATTCACCCTCATTCTTCCTCTCTTTCATGTTTGTTGTGGCGGTTTAGTACCTTTGCATTTGCAAGTAAATTCTAGAATCAGTGTGTCAATTTCTACAAAAGTAGTGCTGGGATTCTTTCTTCCCTTAATACTTCAGTGCGTATTCCATAGGATCAACCGTATTTCCTTACAGAACGACAGCTTCAAGTTCAGGGTGTATGTCAGATTGCATCATTGTCCAGTTCCCTTCATTGCCTGAGTGATTCTACTGAGACTTCCTCCCTGGGACAGAAGGCTGTCCGTATTGTTTTAGTGTAAACAGTGCCTCCACCTTTCATGACCTTGAAATGTTTGATACATGCAAAGCAGTTATTGTACAGAGTGTCCCTGGATTTGAATTTGGCTTGATGTTTATGGCGTTGTAACGTTCATTATTAGATTCTGGCTATGCATTTTTTACTTAAAAGTAGATAGGTGATGCTTCATTTTCAGGGTCTTGCATGTGGAAGTACATGATGTCTGCCCGCCCCTTATTGATACTGTTAATTGTGCTCACTTGGCTCGCTCTTTCTTTTAAAAAAAATTCTCATTATATAGTTATTTTTCTCTTTATATGTGAAAATAATCTGTGAGAAAATCCTGTTAGGATTTCGATGGATGGGTGGGATTGTACTTGGGGAGAAGTGACTCCTTAAAGCCAGTGAATAGTCCACTCTATGAATATGGTATATATTTCTATTTCTGTTTCTTTTCTTTCTCTCTACAGTGTTTTGAAGTTTTAAGTGTGCAGGTCTTACATGTACTTTATTAAGTTTATTCCTAAGTATTTCCACCATGTTTAAGTGTATAATCCGTGGCGGTAAGTACGTTTCACACTGTTTCGCAGCCATCCTCACCATCCATTTTCAGAACTTTCTCATCTTTCCAAACTGAAACTCTGTATCCGTTAAGCAATGACTCCTCCTTTTCCCTTCCCCCTAATTCTTAGCAACCATGATTCTACTTTCTGTCTCTATGAATTTGACTACTCCTCTGTGTACTTTTAACATGATTGTAAATGACCTTTTAAAAACTTTCATTTGCTAATTGTTACATATAGAAAAATGATTGTATTGACTTAATCCTGTGGTTTTACCAAATCTGTGCTAGTTTTAGTAGTTCAAAAATATATTCCTTAAAGGGGCACCCGGGTGGCTCAGTCAGTTAAGCATCTGACTCTTGATCTCAGCTCAGGTCTTGATTTCAGGGTTGTGAGTTCAAGCCCCGCATTGGGCTCCATGTTAGGCATGCAGCTTACTGGGGGAAAATAAGTCATTCATTCCTTATATCCAGGAATTTTTCTATACTTTTCTTCAAACCAATTTTATGTGTGTACCATTGAGGGGAAGGTGCCTGCCCATCTGCCCACTGTCTTCTCTGCCCTTTGTGATAAACACTTTCTGTCCTTCCTCTGTCTCTTCTCAGTCACCTACTCTTCTTGCTTTTTAGGTTTTTTTAATCAATATTGTAGTTATTCATGTCTCCCTCCCTTGACCATTAATTTGTTGGTGTGTAAGTTTCTTCTTCATCTGTGTCATTAGGCCTTTGATTAGTGCCTGGGACATTAGGAATGTAGGAGATACTCAAAATTGAATGTCCATGACATCGAGATTCTGTGATTCAGTACCCATGTCTGTTCCACTTGTGTGGTTTAAGGGATGTTATGGACGGTGGCTTCTGCCTCCAGTGCTTTTCTTTGGTCTTTGAGTGGCCCCGTGTACACACTTCTCCAGCCCTGTCACTCCTCAGAGGTCCCCAACTATGCCCCATAAAGATAAACCATAGTTGTGCTTGAAACTAGAAAGTAATTCCCATTTATTTTATCAAAATTCAGAAACCTGAAGCATGTTACTTTCAGCCCACCTCTGTTTGTCTGTGGACATTCTCTACAATTCAGATTAGACGCCCCCCGAGCGGAGTGAGCGGTGGATGCAATGGCCTCGAACCCGTTCTCGGCGTGTCTTCCCCGCCCCCTGCTCCTTCCCTCCTTCTGGGGGCACCTGACCAGGGGCCAGGGCGAAGGCCACAGCAGAGGACCAGGCTTTCTATTCCTTGACTCTTGAGGTGGAGAAAAGAAATTGCTCAGCCTTGTGGGGTCACCCCAAGGGACCGAAGCCTGGGGTGGGTGACAGTAAACAGAGTATGCGAGTCTCAGTGATTTTCCTGGTGTAGCGTGGGAGCACCCGAACTCAGCGGCAAACAGCGACGTGTAGCGCGCACCCTGGGGCAGAGTTGACTTGCACTTGGGTGTGTTTGGCAAGCGTAGGCATTGGCTTTAATTTAATCAGCAGTTCGCTCAGCTCACAGAGAGTGAAGGGGGGTGCGCTGGGTGGGTATTGTTAGCACATGTGCTTGGCTAATTCCACTATGTTTAAGGAATCCTTGACCCAAAGAAATAATGGCTAAGCGAGCTTACAAGGAAGGGCGTCCAGCCCTTGTTGACACCACAGTCTCTTTGTTTAGATTATTTATGGTTCCAGGTTCCTTTCTTTGAGAAAAAAAAAGAGCTCTTGCAGGTGCCAAGGAGGGACAGAGCCAGAAGCGGCTGAAGAGAGGGTGTCCCGCCAGGTCCTTTGTCTCCACTGCTAGGCGTGACCAGATTTTACATCTGGGGGGGAGGGGAGCTAAGGTAGGGATTTTTAAGGCCATGCAGCGGAATTGGACACAACACAGCATTTCATTGGGCCGTGGTCATAGTGTAGGGTGAGATGACAAATGTTAGGCTTAAGGGCAGGTGACAGACTTGCTGGAAAAAACAGTCTTAATGACAGGCCTAAGGCACATGCTAGAAGCTTGTCCTGGGAGCCCTGGCCCCTCGCCTTTACTCCCCAGCAGATGGGAGCCGTCATGCATCTGCGTGGTGGCTTCTGCTGTGTCCTTAGAGCGTCATGAGGGCCCTTGGAAAAGCGCCTGGGTCCTCAGAATATCTGATCCATCGGCTGAAGGCAGGAGTGACGGGTTCTGCAGGGAAGAATGTGACCCAGACTCCACCGGGGGGGTAGGGGGGTCAAGTAGTGGGCGTGTGCGGGCTGTTCCCCTTGGGCCCTGGGGAGGGAGTCAGACTGAGGGGCCCAGCAGGAGGGCCATGCGTTTGGCCAGCACCCCGTCAGTCCCCCATGTTTCTACGTGTGGTCTGAGCCACCTACAGCACGCACACATGCACGGTCTCCCCGTGAGCAGCACCTTGCATCAGTGTGGTGTGTTCATTACAGGCAGTGAGCTGGTATCAATACGTTAATGATCAAGTCAAGTCTGTAGTAGATGTGAGCATTCACTCTTGCTGATGTCCATTCTGCAGATTTCCAGAATGTTCAGTTGACTCTTCAACAACACGGGGACTGGGATGCTGACCCCCTGCATGGTTGAGAGTCAGTGTATAACTTCTGACTCCCCCCAAAACTTGACTACTAATAGCCCATTGTTGACTGGAAGCCTTACCAATGACTTAGGCCACAAACATGTAGTTTGTATGTATTATATGCTGAACTCTTCCAATAAGGTACGCTACAGAAAAGAAAATGTTATTGAGAAAATCCTAAGGGAGGGTCATCTGGGTGACTCAGTCTGTTGAGTGTCCAACTCTTGATTTCGGCTCAGGTCATGATCTCATGGTCCGTGGGTTCCAGCCCGAGTCGGGCTCTGCGCTGACAGCATGGAGTCTGCTTAGGATTCTCTCGCCCTCTCTTTCTCTGCCCTTCTCCCTCTCATAACCTCTTTCAAAATAAATAAACTTTTAAAAATTAGTAAGGGAGAGAAAATACATTTTCCACACTATATTGTATTTACTGAAAAAAGTTTCCTGTAAATGGACTCATGAGGTTCAAACTTGTGCTATTCAGGGGACAAATGGATAATGACCTCTAGCCACCATTGTATCACACAGAGTAGATTCACTGCCCTAAAGTCTCCAGTTCTTTGCCCGTTCACCCCACGTTCCACCCCCCCCCACCAGCCCCCAGCAACCACTGATCCTTTTACTGTCTCCACAATTTTGCCTTTTCCAGAATGTCACAGAGTTAGAATCACACATAGGTGGGCTCCTTCATTGGTATTCCATCTCGTATCCTGCGTGCAAGGTTCCTCAGTGTCTTTTCGTGGCTCCTTCGTTCCTGGCACTGAGTAACGTTCCTCCGTCTGGATAGACCACAGTTTGTTTATCCGTTCACCTACTGAAGGACAGCTTGGTGCTTCTGAGTTTTAGGCAGTTATAAATAAAACTACAGTCCACATTTGTGAGCCGAGTTTTGTGTGGTCCTTTTCGATTCATTTGAGTGAATACCAGGGAACGAGACGGCTAGATCATAAGGTGAAGATTTTAAAGGAAAAAATGAATCATGAAGGGTACTGAGGTCTTCGTTCGGCTGTGCTCACAGACTGTGTCTTTCCCAGAGATGACTACCATGAGGACGGATTCTGCCAGCCTTACCGAGGGATCGCCTGTGCGCGCTTCATCGGGAACCGGACCATTTATGTGGACTCCCTCCAGATGCAGGGAGAGATCGAAAATCGAATCACAGGTAGGAGCCCCACAGCTTCGTGCTGAGAGAGTGAGCGCCCGCTTGTGTTTGCCAGTTACTCTCTTGGACGGTCAGTCCCTGTTCTGTGGGTCTTGCAGCGGAAACCTTTATTAGAGGCATTTGGAATTGCCACCGTGGCTTATTCTAGAATGCTCCCATTGGCGTGCTCACATTAACAAGTGCTTAGAATATACATCTGGTATGCCTAGTTAGGCCAACCAGACGGGTCTGGAGTCGTGCCTTGTCGTGTTCTCACTACGTTGCCAGGGCCTTCTGTCCCCAGGCTGGCCACACTGTGGCATGCACCGGGGCCCAAGGCATTTGATCCCTTGACTTCTTCGTTCTGTCTTTCCTGTCTGAGACTCGTGCTTGGTGACTAGGGGCACAGGCCCACCTTTGCCATTCGGGAAGGAGGTTTGCAGGTCACCGGTGCTGCGTGGGGACACCGCACAGTCAGACCGTATCAGCCTTCAGTCCCCAGGGAACGGTCGAGATTTCAGGGGCCTTCGCAGCTCGGGCAGTGCGGCCAGTCACTCAGCACAAAGCGACTGGCTCTCTGTCTCCTTAGGAGTAACGTTTCTGGTCACTGTTAGTCCTCAGCGCGCTGACTTCTACTCGTTGATGTGAAGGTCATCTTAGGGGAAGTCCTTTGGGAAGGAAGAAAATGAATTAGACCAAACCCCCCAGAGCCCTGCTCCCCCGTCTCTGCCGTCCCCACAAACACACACTGGCACTACTCGCAGGCCTCCGAGGCTGAGCGGCCCAGGAGACGCGGGGGGCATGCAGAGAACGCGGTGCCCTGCTGAGGGCCAAGAGTGAGGTCCTAGGCAGACGCCCCTGGAGGTGTCATTGGGGCGTCCTTCTCAGTTCAGGTCCACCTTGCCTTTCACCTCAGCCTGGAGGGTCTAGAGTCACGGTCAAGCAAAGACCTGCCTGGCCCGTGGGGACTGAGGCCCTGAGGACAGGGCCAGGCATCCAGTGAGGAGTGGAGAGGGCAGTGGGGGCCCAGCAGGAAAATGTCTAGAAAACACTGGTATCTCTCTTTGGAAAAGCTTTTCAGGCCATTTGAAGCCAAACTTCTAGAACCTTTTTTGGCCACCGCACACTGTAAAATCTGTGCTTTATGTTAGGGCTTAGTATCCACATGCATTTATCTCACAGACAGGAAATGGGTTACGGGAGACAAAACGCACCCTTAACAAAAGCAGTGCTTTTTCTCTTCGGTTTTATTTCATTAAGGGAAAGAAGCGGGTTACAGCCTTAAGGTGAACCCTGCAGTCTGACATCCTCTCTTTGGTTCTAATCTTTTCAAACACTAGCCACAGACTCTAGAATTTTACATCCCGCTAACTGGCAAACCCCGATTCAAGGCACAGGTTGCCCCTCAGTTAGCTCTTCAGGAACCGTGTGAGGCGTTAAACGACTCCGATATCTGAGCCAACTGATTTCACAGCAGTCGTTGGGAAAAGTCTCAAAAGAAGACCTCTCGATTTGTGGATGTTTGGGAGCGTGAAGTGGAAGTGGCTTTCAACTGGCTGGCTTGCTGTGTAGACACTGTGATGGTTGTGGAGGCGTTCTGTGTGGAGAGCATTGCTTGTCCCAGGAGTCTGGAAGCTTCCAAGGGAAGGGCCCCAAGGAGTCTTCAGACTAACGTGGGGCGCGGGCGAAGGCGAGTAGTGAGTTGTTGGACCTTCCGGGTGTGTGGAATTGTAAGTCAGCCCCTACGTGATACCTTCTGAGGGGAGGCGAGGGGAGGCCCTTAGAGGGTCAGCTGTGACACCGTGTTGGTGGGTTACCCCAGAAGAAATGCCAGGTTTGGCCTCCTTAGAGAGTCTGTCTCTGCCTGGTGGTCAGGGTCTACGTCATGGCAGAATGCTGTGGCCAGAAGGGACCAGGCGGGACGTGACTGCACCTGGCTGCCCACACGGGCTCTGTGCAGCCTTCCAGTCCAGGGTGCGGTCTCAACAAGTCACTTGACAGATAAAGACACAGGACCAGAAGGGGACTGAGTGACCCGCTGTCCTGTAGTAACAACAGGGCAGGGGGCTGCCACCCCAGCTCGTGTCCCTGGGGCTACTGCCGGTGCCCAGCGGGTCCCCCAGGATAACGGGTGCCCAGCGGGACCCCCAGGATAACGGGTGCCCGCAGCGCCACCTGCTGGTCGCACTGGGTTCTGCACCACAAGTCCTGGGTAGAGCTGGGGCTTCCCAGGGCCTAAATGTGTCGGCAAAGGGGCCCCTCTTTTCTGGCTGCCCCGGATCAAATTTTGTTACAAGCCGGTCCTTCACAGGTCAAAGGGGATGGGCCTCCTGGCAGTGAGCACGCCGGCTGATGCCTTCTTTTGGGCCCCGATGGCCGAGAGAGGGCGAGTAAGGTCCCCCCACAGCTCTGCTCACCCGCAGCTCCCACCCGTGTCCTCTCCCCGCACCAGGGCTCGGGGTCATCCCGACTGTGACACCGCACGCCAGCCCGTCCCGGCCCCGGAGCCGCCCGCCTCTCCCCGCCTCTCCCCCTGCGTCACCAGCGTCCCGCCCTCCGTCTCGCCCCTGCCTGCGCCAGGGCCTTCTTACCCCTCGCCCTGGGGCGCAGTCCGCAGGGCTGGCCCCGGGCCGCAGGGGCCTCCCCAGGCCCAGGCGCCTGCCTGCAGCCCCACAGGCCCGGGTCCCGGCAGGGCCCTGGGAGTGGCCTTGGGGTCAAAATCCGAACGCCCCATTGATGGAAAAAGCATCCGGCGGGACGAGGCCCCTGTTTCCCTTTTGTTGCACCTTGGATGGTGTTAAGGGGCCGGCGGTGACCAGGGACGTGCTGTGTCCGGTGCCAATCCGGGCAGCTCTGGTGCTGCCTGGGGGCTGCTGGTGTGAGAGCCATTCTGAGTGTGTGCGGGGCAGGGGGGAGGGCCCATGGGAGGGGGAGGGGAGGGGCC